TTTTTTGGGTTTTTTTTTTTTCTGGTCCAAGCTTAATTTACTGCAAGACCTTTAAAAGATCTTTTTGAGGCCAGGGAATTTCCCCATGAATTGAAAAGAAGATGAGTTTATTTCCTGAGATTTGGTTTGCAAACTGCTCTTTCTTATTCCAGAGAAGCTGCAAAGTGACTGAAGGTGCAGTGAGAAGTTTGGTGGAAGTTTTAATGTCACTTTTAAGGAATCTTAATTTATACATGGTGCACTTGGTGAGTCTTTCCAGGAGATGCATTTCAGGGAAGAATATGTTTAGAAAGCCTGGACACTGTTGACCTATTTTTCATGAGCCTGAGGGAATTCAGTTTTCTGCACTTAGAGGCAATTGGAAGGGAAAAAAAGGTAGATTTCACCATGATATGTTATTTTATCAGCATAGAAAATTAGGTATTAATATATTTTCAAAAACAAACATGAAAACGTGTGCTCCTAACACAACCATCAGGTGCCATTTTCTCTAGGAAGCAGCGAGTTTGTCCTTTGTTATTTATAATTCCAACCTAGAAACTGGTGCAGGGGGGAAGCAGGGATGATAAATTGAATTTACTGAACCGAGGGCTGGCACAGAGCTCCTGATTCCTCTGTTTTGTACGCTGTATCTGAGGGTACTGGTACACAGTATTCCAAAATATTTTGAATTAAGTGTTAACTATTTAACTCTTTCCTGTTACATAGTAAATGCATGTTGTTCCCAGGTCATAGCTGGAAAAATTCTAACAGTGGGGAGGTTAAATTCCTGGAGATGCTGAGTAGCATCCAGWATGAAATCACAGCACTTTATATCTCTATCCTCAGCATCCTCCCTGCGCCTCYTGCCCATTTATCCAAGGGGATGAGTGCAGCACTAGAGGAATTTGGAGYTGGATCCTAATGCTGGTTTTAGCTCCCTGCAACTCCTGCAAGGCATTTTCACTTGAGACATCAGCCTGAGACTCCCTCCCAGCAGCGAGGAAAGCCTCCTAAATCCACATCCTGGCACAGGAATATTCAGGAGCAGGTCCAGGAGAGCCAGCTCTTGCTTTCCTCCCTCCTCTTTTTACAGAATTCTGGCAGAGAGGCTCAAAACTCTGCTCCATGCAGTTCGTGGCAGCGCAAAGACAGGAAATTGCTTGTGTTGGGCACCTTCCTTTGCAGTGGGAATTAACCAAGTAATAAATAACTCCATTCCTTATTTTTGGAGGGCCTTGCAAATTATCCCGATAACCCTGGCGCAGGCAATCAGCGGCAGACAGCAYTTTCCTTCCTCACAGATATTCCTGCGAGATTCCGCAGCGTGGTGAGCCTAATGATTTTCCTCCCCTCCTGTGTCAGCTCTCTGCTTTTCCCTGGAAATAAATATTTATTTCCTCACYGTGGCCACCTCGGGCTCCTCTCCGTCCTCTCCAGCGGCGCTGGAAAGCAGCAGAGAGCAGCAGCACACTGCAAGTGGCAGCTGCTCAGAGCCACCCAGGGAGGATGGGTCCCCTCACAAATAAAAACAAAATGCAGAGAAGTCGTGGACTCCACCATCCTGTAATTAAAGCATTGAGATGTTGTTCCTTTGCGGGTTTTGGATGGTATTCCTCGTGGATAAACAATAACTTTGGGATGTCGTTATAAATATTGTGTCATCTGCATTTAGTGAGSAAAATCAGGCTGCTTCAATTTTTTTTAACGTGGCTTTCTGAAATCCTTGAAYGGTGGCAGAAACTTTTAAAGAGGAGGTTCTTGGGCTACTGAAACAGAGAACTTGAATAATATTTCATGGTACATATTTTAAAAACCGCAGATTGTGTTCTTGCAATACAGATTTCCCCCCAGCATTAAAGAATAATATATAAAAATAGATTTTGGTGACATCCCATAGCAAAACCTCTGCATAATTATAAAATAAATATTAACTATTTGTTTCAGATTGTGTATTTAGAGTGAAAATTTCTGATTAAACTCAGGTTTTAAAGAAGTCTGGCAAAATCAAATCTGTATCGCTAAACATGTGCTTGATGTGCTGTACTTCTTAAGAAAGAAAATCCTTCAAGTTTGATTACACAAATCAGAATGGGGGGATTAAGGTTATGATTAGCCCTGGAAAATCGACGTAATATTTATGCAAATTTGGCAAATTGAGTTGGTTTTCCCCATAGTCTTGTAAATGAAAAAGACATTTTAGAAAAATTGCAGGTCTATAGAAATTCTATCATTTTGCRCCCTATTCTTTAAAATTTAATAGAAAATGAATCTGATTGAAATGGAGCTGACTGAAAGGTACACAGGGACTGCAGGTAAAAGGTTCATTTGAACAGAAAGACATCTGTGTGGGCAYCACTGGTCCCTTAGATCCTTAGGAGCTGGGGCTCTATTAATTTTTAGTATAGGAACTAAATTATAAAGTTATTGAACAGAGAGAGAATTTATCTCTGTTAATGGCCATTGAAAGATTTTTTTTTTTTTCCTAAAGCTCGAAGAAAGTAGAATTCAAATATGAGGAAGCTTGAAGACGTTTCAGGAATTAAATATACCTCCCATTCCCCCCCTCCTCTAAATTGATAATATAACTCAAATAGTCGAGTTTGTCAGAGATGATAATGTGAGAGAGTGTGATAAAATGCACAGATCAATAGCCCACAATTGAGATTAATGCTCTTCTCTTTAAAAAGACGTGGATTGTTTTATGCTGCAGAGCTGTGCGGAGCAGAGAGCTTTCCCTGTAGCCTGGGTCAGTGAAAATCTCGTTTTAAAAGCTGAATTTGGTGTTTTGTGGCTGGGGATTGGAGAGCTGCCTAAACACGTTGTTTGCTGCTGAGGTGGGCAGGGGTTTTCTTTCACCTGAAAGATGAGGTTTGGACCGCGCTAATTTCGCCTGCATCACTGACAGGCAGGGAAAATCTCGGGGATGACAGGTTGTATTTGGACATCGACACCGCAGTTCTGGAACGCGGAGGAAGAGTGAAGTGTGTGACAGCTGTTGGCACAACTGCTCCGAGCCCCTTCACCTGTTCGTGCAGATGTTGGGCTGCCCCAGAGCCCATTCCAGTGCCCGATCCTGCTCTGCGGGGACAGCGAGGCTCAGACGGACAGAGCCGGGCACGCACGGAGCCACCGAGGCGGGGAAAGAGCCGAGGTCACCGGGTCCGACCCTCCCCATCAGCACCGTCACCCCTACCCCGAGTGCCGCATCCAGACGCGTCTGGAGCACTTCCAGGGGCAGTGAAGTCCCCCAGCACCCTGGGCAGGTTATCCCTGTGCAGAGCGGCACGGTGTTTGTGTTTGTGTTTGTGTGCGATGGGATAACTCGGACAGAGCCCAGAACCCGCCGGGAGCAGCCGCGGCCGGAGCACACCCAACCCCTCCCTCTGAGCCCCTGCAGCTCTGGGGACTCTGCACCGCTTGTAGCAGGAATCCCAGCCTGGCTCGGCTTCATTCGCCATTTAGCTGCGCTTTTCCTGTCAAAACACAAGGCAGAATAGCGGAAAACAATTCAACCGGGAGCGCTGGGGCAGCCGGGGGCGGGCACGCAGCCCGCGGCCGCCTCCTCCCGAACCATGGCGCCACCTCCCTTTCCTCCTCCTCCTCCTCCTCCTGTTCCTCCTGCCGCCGCCGCCGCACATCCCCTCCTCCCGGGGCTCCGTTTTGGTTCCGGGGCAGCGGCTCCTTCCTGCGGGAGGGCGKTGCAGCCTGTGCCCGGCCCGGCTCGACCCGGCTCGGCTCGGCGCGGCGGCCGCAGCATGTGAGCCCGCGGGGCGGGGATGCTCTGGCTGCTCTGCGGCCCCTCCGGCGCCATGGACAGCCAGGCGCTCGTCATCCGCATCAAGATCCCCGACGGAGCCGCCGTGGACTGGACCGTGCAYTCCGCACCCCAGCTGCTCTTCAGGGATGTGCTGGTGAGTCCCGCCGGGACCCCCCTCTCAGCCCGGGGGATGAGACCGGGACACCCCTGCCATCCCGGGAGATGCCACCGTCCCCCGCCTCCGTGCGGAAAGCGGTTCCCTAATCCTTCTAGGAGGGCGGGAGGTGTTTGTTCGCGCCGGGAAGTTTTAATGGGAGAGTGGTTCTGGTAGGGACTGCCAAAAATCCCCGTCCCGGGGCAGCGCCGGCGTTCCCGCGGTGTCGGGAGCGGGGCTGGGAGGAGCCGTGATGGGGATCCAGCCGGTGCTGCAGGTGCCSGGCACGAGCATCGTGCCATGGCTGGGGCTCGAAGGAACCTTTACAGGTGCCCCAGTCCGGCAGGGACACACCGGGTCAGGGCATCCCCGCCCCCGCCCCTTAGGGCGGTCCCGGCTCGGCTTTAGGGCAATGGACAAAGTTGTGCTTGGGAATGAGCGTTCCCGACTCGGGAAGAGTAACGGGCTCTGCCCCTGGGCTGTGGCTACCCCTGCTCCTGGTGGAATCGCCTGTGTCTCCTTTKCCCTCAGCCCCTTCCTGCTGTGTTTTTGTCCACCTGCATGCAAGGATGCTCTCTTTATTCAGAATGGGAGCGGGTGTTTATTTTTCCCACTTCTTAACTGCATCCTTAGCCCAAARAGCAGTCCAGTGTTTGTGTGCCACTGACACTTTGTGCAGCGTGCCCTTGTCGTCCCTCCCCTACACAYCCTTGCAGGGACTCCCTGTGCCCCTGTTGCTCTAAAGAAAATCTTCCCATACTACCCATTGTGTGCGTGTTTAATTTTTCCTTTTGTTATTAATACCGGAGAGAGATTTTGTGGATGTCTTTAAATATGTTGCATTTTGTGGAAAAGATATGTGGGGATTACSGGTTGGTTTGCTGCAAAATGTTCACTGTTGGATCTGGAGAAGGTTGCAGACGTAATGAAGCAGATGACAAAGGCTCCAGGTTTCATTCTTCCAACATTTAGCATTTTTCTGTAGATGGAGGAGGGAGAGCAGAACTTTTGGCAGACCAGGGAGGGTTTGGGGAGGAGCAGTTTCCTCTTGGTGGCTGCTGGGAGTTTGCTTTGGTTGTACTGGGRTGACCCACTCTGCCCTCGCACAAAAGTGGAGCAAATCTGAGTTTGGTTTTCTCCACGCTCTGCTTCATGTTTTCCATTATTTTCCTCCAAATAAAGTGAAGCAATCACTGATGCTTGGCCTGTCTTTTGGCATTCTAGAATTGTGGTAAATTTAGGTTGGTTTTATTATTTAAAAGTAAGTAGAGAAATCGTGGTCAGTGGAGGACACGGGATCTTGAGTTCCCACTTGCAGTGACCTCAGGTCACGTGACAGTGATGCTTCCTGAGAGCTCAGGAGTGTGAGAGAAGAGCAGAGATGAGGAAGGAGAGCATGTCAGACAAACTTTGAGCTTGGAACATCTCAGAGCTCATTGCTTTTCACTGCTGAGATGGTTGTAAGGAGGGATCTGTTGGAGAACAGGCAGACAAGTCACAGCAGAGGGATGGTGACAAGATCATTCATTGCTGGTTTTATTAAAAATCCCCCTTTTTGTTATACTTGTGTTCACTAATGATGGAACTGGAGACTGGTTTGGGTTGGAGAAGAACTTAAAGCCCATCCAGCTCTACCCCTACCGTGGCAGGGACACCTCCCACCATTCCAGGGTGCTCCAAACCATGTCCAGCCTGTCCTTGGACACTGCCAGGGATCCAGGGGCAGCCACAGCTTCTCTGGGAATTCCATCCCAATGTTTTCATTCTGTCACACCTGTGCTGCTAGAGATAATTTGCAGTTTCCCTCTGTTAGGCTGTTGCTCCCAGGAGTYGGTGGTTGTGTTTCAGGAGCCTGAAACCCTTCACAGCCTGCACYTGCACTTCATAGGTCAGATAAACACCGAAATTACATAAAATAAGGCACCAGGGCTCTCTGGAGTGGTGGCTGTGTCACCCCCTGGGGCTGGCAGTGTGCTGGTGCAGGGATTTTTGCTTTTTTTCCTTTGCTATATTTGTCACCTTCCCAGGACTTTTCCCTGCCCTTTTCCCCAGCTGGGAGACCRAACACATTCCAAACTCCAAGCCTTGGAGGCACAAGGTCCCCCATCCTATCCTGGTTCTTCCTGGGAACCAAGAGGTCTTCAAGACCCATTTCCAAAACCAAGGACAGCAGGGACCGAGGGTGGGGGCTGCAGAGAAKAGGCTTGGCCTGGGGTGAACTGCATCACCACTTGTCCTCTTAATCAATGCTTTTTATCAATTATGCTAATTTCCTAAAACCCATCAAATTGTGTTCACCCCTGTGGGGGGCAGGATTTTGTGGGAATTCTTCYAAGGCTGCCCCTGCAGCTCCACTAAAGCCCCAYGTTYATATCACCTCCTGTACTAAAATCATCTCGAGTTTCATTTTTAAGTTGTAAAAGGCAACAGGAATGGGGCTGACTCTTGTCCTTCTGCCTTCGGGGTGATGGCTCTTACCTGGAGAGCAGTGCAGGGGGTTTGTGGTGGGGGGAACAATTAAAGAGGCTTCGGAGAATTCAGGGGTTCCCTATTGAGGTCAGTTAGTGAAAAGAATAACCCAGCCAGACCCGATCTGTGTCCACATCTCCCTAAATACGAGACTCAGGAATACACGGGAATTTTCTCAGGCTCTGAATAACCCAAGTGAGGCTGTCTGGAGCACATGAGGCTCCATCCCACTCCTCTGCTGTGTCTCAGGGACACAGGGAAGTGTGTCCTGCTGGAACTGCAGATCCGTATTTGGGAGCCAGTCCCAAAACCCAGGTGCACCCCCAGATCCTGCATTCATGGGAACTGAATTAGCTGTGCAGGAAGGCTGGTCTTCCTTCAAGGTGGGTCCCATGGGCTGCTCTGTGTTAAGAAAACCCCATAACATTATCTTTGAAGCCAGCAGGGGTTTATTTTATATTTTTAAGGTGATTATTGTTAATTTAACATCACAATGAATACAGCTGAGTGTARCCTTGCAGCATTTCAGGTGTGTGAGATTATCTCCATCCTCCTTTTATAGAGAAGCTCTGGTGTAGAGTCACCCAATATCCTGTCCCTCTCCAAATATTTTATCTCTTCCCAAATATCCTGTCCCTAGCCATGGAATAAGCTGTTATTCCATGAGGAAGGAATAGGAGGCAGGAAGGCTGATGCTCAGGGCGATKCCTTGCCCATTAAATGCCACATTTCTTCACTTTCCGCTGCTCTAATTCTGTTTTTTGGAGGAGCTCTTGCAGGTACTCAGGGATTTCATCCTGGTCCCTTTGACCGTGAAATCCATGGAAGCAGCACTGCTTTAGGTCAGGAATTTCCCTGATTCCTTCTCTGAGCTGGGTGCTCAGAGATGCTCTCCACAATGTCACTTTAGATCAATTCTCTGCATATCAGCTTTGCAGACCTGTAAGTTCCCAGTAAATAGATTTAATTTTAAGGCCCCACTAAATGAATTACAATAAGCTAATTTTTTTGTCATCAGGCTGTCTAGATTCCTCCTGTCACCGGCATATTTAAGCACTTGGTGTTAATTCTGGGTAATTTCACGTTGTCACATTGRGCTAAAACAAGTTTTGAGTGAAACACGAGAGCTGTGGGTTCAATATTTACCCTGTCATTTCAGCAGAGCTTTCACAATTTCTGCTTTCTCACCCGWGCTCCTCCAGAGAACAGATTTGCTGCAGTTCCCCTTGCAGCTGCTCTTCCCTGATTTTTCTCCTCACATTTAGAGGCTTTTCAGTTGTGGAAGATAAAACAGAAGCCCTCACTCGAGCAAGGCCTCCGAGCTGGAGTGTTTTATTGTTCCTGCTCTCTGTTGTGATAGTACAAAATCCCTGTGCACGTGTAATCCATTGAAATTTAGGATAATCCTTTAAGCTGGGTCACCCGGAGGTCTGGGGGATGTCTGAGCAGGGAAATGGGATGGAGCTGCTGGGAACACTTTGGGAAAGGCACAGTGATGGGGGGATTGCCCTCCCACTGCCTGCCAGGCTGGATTTTCACAGATACATTGATTTMATGGKTATCTTTTCCTYAGATATATCTAATTTTCTCAAATACATTGATTTAATGGGTATCTTTTCCTCAGATATATCTAATTTTCTCARATACACTGRTTTAATAGCTATCAGTTTTCTCAGATACATATAATTTTTGCAGATACATTGATTTAATGGAATTAGTACAAGTTGAGCAGAGCAGAGTTTTGGGGGCTGTTGGTGGGGTTTCCTGCCCAGTTCTTTATTTATTGTAAGAATTGGGGTGTATAATTCACTTACAGATTATTACTCGTGTTAAAGGAGTCACAATGCACATAAAAAGTGATTCTGAAAGGTGCAGGAAAATAAGATTTTTTTTTTTTTAAAATCATGATTTCAGTGCTCTCAGATCCTTGGGAGTCTTGGAGTTTTCCAAGCAGACTTTTTGGGCCATCAGAACTGTCTCTGTCAGTGCTGTGCTCACACCCCGTTAAAATACAGTTTTCAAACAGCCCAGAACAAGTTTTAAATCCATTCTGTGTGACCACATATGAACGTTGGCAAGTGGCTTACATCTAAACCAATTCAAGTGTGTTTGCTGAGGAATTTTCAGTGTTTGACTGAATGGATTTGAAAATAATTAGATAATACACTGTTCTGTACAGGCAAAACTAATTTCTTATCCGAAATAGTGGCTGGCTTTTGACAGAGGGCTGTTAAACCTTGTAGAATGCGAGAATTTTTATTAACCTGGCAATGTTTGGGGGGGTTTTTCCTTTTTTTTTGCCTCTACAAATTTTCAATTCCATAATTAAGCCACATTGCGTGTTTCTTGTGTACAATTAATAGCTGGAATTGCAGCTCTTGATTGATTTTAGCATCCAAAGCAAAAAGACAGCACGAGAAAGTTTGGGAGTTATTATTTGCTTCACTTGGCCCTGTGGAARTCCTTTGCTGCTTTCCCATTATTAATTGTGTAATATGGCACAGAGTCTTGAATTTCCTGCTTTTGGATGAAAGAGAAGGGAATGGCTGGAAAAATGAGAAAAGCTGAAAAAAATGAAAAAAGCTGAAAAAGARAAAAAGRTGAAGACTCTTCTCTGGTACCAGCAAAAAGGGTTGGGTTGGAGCAGGGATGTGAAGTTGGAAATGTTGGTGTGGTTTGGCTAAAAAATGATAAAAAGTGAAAAAATGATAGAAGTTCTTTTCTGGCACCAGCAAAAAGAGTTGGGCTGGGTCAGGGATGTTCAATTGGAAATGAAGGAAAGAAAAACTCCTTCAGTCTCCCAGCTCCTGTTTGAATTCCCGAGGGAATTTGGTGCCCTGTGGYTCCTGAGCCTCAGGCAGGGCAGGAGATGGAGCTGAGGGGACCAAAGTTGTTGTTTGGAGCAGAAGAATCAGAGTGATGGGAACAGGACCRAGGGGGAAAACAGGGTTTTAAAGCAAAAAACCCCATGGATAAACTTTTTTTTATGCTTGGCTATGCTTATGCTTATGCTTATCAGGGGTCTGGTTTTTTTATAACTTATGGAAAAAATGGATTCTTTCAACTTTAAGAGTAGACACCACCGAGTTGTTTGCAGTTATGATGGAATTCTTTGGGAAGAAAYGGGTTTTCCTGAAGGTCACGTGGAGGGGAAGGAGAAGAGCCCCGTGATTGGTGCAGTTTTGGGTTGTTCCCTAAAAATTTGTCATTTTGGAGCAGCAGGGAGTAGGTTTTGAACTCTTCTTCCTGCAGCTGGGAGTTCAGGTGATTTTTATTAAGCTGAGGTGATTTGTTCCAAATCAGGCTTTTCCCATTTGATTTTTAACTCATTTTTGCTTTTGTTTTTAGGATGTCATTGGTCAGGTCCTGCCAGATGCAACGACCACAGCGTTTGAGTGTGAGTGGGACTTGTACCCTTTCCTTTGTCAAATTGCATGGCTGCCATTAAAAAACCCTATATTATTAATTTTATTTTATTAATTTTATTTTGTTATCATGATTTTATTATTTTTATTTAATTATTTCTATTTTATTATTTAATAATTTTTATTATTTTGATTTAATTTTTTAATTTTCATTATTTTTATTTCATTCTCATTTTATTTATTTTTTATTATTTTTATTTTCATTTTCATTTTATATTTTATTTTATTTTCATTTTATTCTAATATTTATTTTTAAATAAAGAATATTCATTCTATGTTATGGTTAACTGTTCATGCATTAATGTAGCTTAAATAAGGGCACTAAACAAAGCAAGATTTTATTATTTATTTTTATTTATTGATTATTATGGTGATTTATTATTAATCAAATCTGCAATGAGCATTTTTCCACAAAGTAGCTTTAATTACCAGTGTGACCTCACCGTGCTCTTACTCCTCAGTGCAATTAGATTGCTCAAATTAAATGAAAAATAAAAACTACCTGTGGCTCTGAGCTTAAAATTTCCACCCTCCAGTGCTCTTGGCAACTATTTAGACTGATATATATTTTAAAATTTCTCTTTAAACACTGCTTATTTTTATTTTTAAGGGATTCCTGGGGGTGAGCTTATCTGGAGAGCAATRAGTGCAAAGGGRAGTGTCCCAGGGGGTGAAACACTGKMGTTTTCTTCCAAGGGGAGGAGGCTCCTGCTATTCCCTTTTAATTTTTATCCTTTTTTTTTCTGTGTTTTCCTTTGGTAGAGATTAAATGGCAGGAAGGACCTACGAGGGCCTTGCGTTTTTATCAGCAAAATAATTTTTAGATTACTAAAAGCTCCCCTTTTTCGAGCTTTGTGGCTCATTTTGTGCCTAATCCAAGGAAATGCTGATTTAAGATCCTTCAAGCCCMATTCAGTGCTGCTCTTCTTTCCACACGTTGTGTTTTCCTCTCCTGAAACACCACGAGAATGGAGAAGTTTTATTTCCATATCCTCGACGTTTTTCCTGCCCTGCTTTTTAACCTGAGCAAAAGCAGCCTCCGGTCCTTGCCATTTCTATTTTTTTTTTTTTTARTGATTTGTTAATATTTGCTTGCCACGTCCCCCACGAGCTGGGTTTGAACTTCACGCTCCGGCAGCAGCCCGTGGGAATGGGGCCGTGCACAGAAGTTTTCCTGAAAATTCCCATTTCCTTGGCTCCCAACATCTGCTGCTGTGCCTTCCCCCGTTGTCCCCACTCTGTCATTTACAGCTGCACCAGCCCATTTTCCTGCCAGCTCAAATYCAGCCCTTTTTCTGGGGATTTTTTCCCCTATGGAATGCTTGGATTTTGCTGCCTTAAGTTTTGCTTGAAGTGGCTCCCTGTGGGGATAATTGTCAGCCATCCTAGGCCATTCTTTCCCCTTTCCCCTTTCCTTGTGTTAAAGACACATTTCTGCTGGTTTTTCAGTTTAAATTCAGCTTTTTTTCCCCCTGCCTTTTCATCCCCATATTTGTAATTTCCTCTGTTTGTACCACCACCAGAAATTGTGCAGCTCTGAGAGCTGAGTTAATTCCTCAGTCATTCCAAATGGATAATGTGGGATTTTTCTGGATGTTTTGCCAGAGTTTTCTCTCCTTTTTTTTTTTTTTTTTTTTTTTTTTTTTTTTTTTTTTTTTTTTTTTTTTTTTTTTTGTGGTCCCAGCTCAGCCTGTTCCCTCTCCCCAGACCTGTTTAACAGCTTTTATCCATGGATCCATGCCTGTCCTGCATTCCCTCTGATCCTTCCCATGGATTTTTTGTGCTCCTTGCCCTTCCCATTCATCCCACTCTGGCCCTGGGTTGTGTTCAGGTCTCTCTTTCCCAGCTCCTCCTCTTTCCTGCCTCCCACATTTCCAGGGAATCATTGCAGTTCCCTCTCTGACTTTTCCCCATTTTCCCATCGTTCCTGACTCACTGGGGCTGCTCACCCTGCCCTGGCAGTGCCCTGGTGGAATTCCCACCATCCAAGGCTCTTCCAAGACCAATCTGCCCTCTCCAGTTCCTCTTGCAGCTCCCACATTTCCAGTTGCTCTCTTCCAGGATGTTTTAAAAGCCTAATTCTTTACATTTTTATGTTTTATTCTTCTGCATTGCTTTGTTTTTTTTTGGTTTTTTTTTTTTTTTCGTTATTGCCTCAGAATTACCTTTTCAGAGGTAAAATGAATAAACTCCTTTTCTCACATATTTTGAATTTCTGGGCTTGGATTTCTTCCCAGATTCTTGTGCACAATTGGGAGCAGGAGGGAGTTTTCATCCAGGGACATAATGGCACTTTTGTACTGATAACAATGGGATGAGGGGGAATGGCTTCAAACTGACAGASAGTGGGGTTAGGTGGGATTTTGGGAAGGAATTGTTCCTTGTGGGGGTGGAATTCCCAGAGAAGCTGTGGCTGCCCCTGGATCCCTGGAATGTCCAAGGCCAGGCTGGATGGGGCTTGGAGCAGCCTGAGACAGTGGAAGGTGTCCCACCCTTCTTTGCTTTCCAGAGAATTTGGAGCAAGATTTTTAAGGTCTTTTCCGGCTCCAACCATTCTGGCACTCTGTGAATTACTCGATTTTTTTTTTTTTTAATTAAAAATCAACAGTTAAAAATTACACTGAATTCCAATGAAACTGCCCAAACTGAACTGAGTTTGGGAGAACTGAAACCCTTTTGGGAGCTGACCCTTCCATCTGGCAGCAGAGCACCTTGGGGTCAGTGAGGGCTTCTCCAGCACGGGGAAGTGCTCAGCTCCTGGAGAGGCTCTGGCAGTGAAAGAAATGCTGAGAGCAAAGTTCTGACCACTTTGGCTGTGCCCCTTTTAGAAACCATCATTGCTCTTATTAAYTAATGTTTGGGGTCATTATACATCATTTTTTATACTATCATTATAATTATTGTGTATAAGTGTTATAATGTATATAATACATTCTGTAATTATGCATCATCATTTCAGAGTATTTGTGCAGCTCCCTTTTCCATTCTTCACTTGGATTTGTTGCCAAAAGCCCAGATCAAACCCTTGCCTGTTAAAATTGTGGATTTTCCCCCTTGCCTGGCTGACGTGGTGCTTTCCTTTGGCAGATGAGGATGAGGATGGGGACCGGATCACAGTCAGGAGCGATGAGGAGATGAARGCCATGCTCTCCTACGTGAGTACAGCACCCCAAATCTGAACTTTTCCCACTTTTATCACTCATTCCTGGTGTTGGATATCAATATCCAAATATCAAAAAACAAAAACTTTTTGGACAGTGTTAAAATAATAAAAAAAAAGGCTCCCTTTGCTTGGAAGCTTGCAGGTGTCTCATGGGCGTGCCCAGCATCAGATTTCTACAATTTTTATAAATGTAACAAATTAACAGATCTAACTAACATTGCCCAATTAGAAGAGCAGTTTTTTAGGTAATTTCCCCCCATTGGAATTGGTCCAGGGGCTTCTTTGCCCAACTTCTTGTTAGGTCTTCTCAGATTCTGGTTGGAAAACAAAACCRAAACAACAGTTGGGGCTCTTTTCTTGAAAATAAGACCCAACAGTCTTTCAGGAATGTGTTAGGTTAGCTTGTTATTCTAAAATCTAAGAGAAAGGRTAGGAAAAATACCAGGAGCTATATAACTGTRTAGTGATAGTCTACAGAGCTACAAATAGACCAAAAATACATTAAAAAATGAAAATTTGTAGGGATCACTGGTGTGGTTTTGCCTGTATCAGTATGAACAACMTGCAGTGTGCACAGGGCAATATTCCTGTATGGAGTTCAAAGTTGAATATTCCTGGGTTGAGTGGAGGTGTTTGGAAGCTGCATCCCACAGGATCTGTGGGCATAGATCCATAGGGTACAGTTACAGAAGAGTTGGTTTTTGTGTTTGGTTTGTTGTGAGGGTTTTTGGGGGATTTTGTTTTTGTTTTGTGGGGTTTTTTTTGAGTTTTTTTTGATTTTGTTGATTGGTTTGGGTTGGGGTTTTTTTGTTTATTAGGGGTTTTTTTGTTTGTTTTTTGGAGGGTGTTTTTGAGGGTTTTTTTGGTTTTTGGGTTTTGTTTTTTTTTTAAGAAGAAAAAAGCCCTGTTTATTTAAAATAACAAAACAGAATGCCCGCAAGGCATGGGTCAAAGCAAAAAGGAAAAAAAGGGACTCTTAAACCTTTCCTTAAAAAAAGAAAAAAAAGCCTCTTACACTTACTGATCATATCAGCAACATTAGGAATAATGCATCTTAATGACTTTTGCATTAGGTATAGTGCAGGCTAAATGGACTATCAATTTCTCCTATTTTTTATGCAGTACTTAAAGTAACGGCTCATTAAAAATGAACCCCTGGGCTCGAAAAATTTTTCAAAATCTACTTTTCATCTGGAGCCCGCTTCACCCCTCCTGGCAGAGGAGTTTGGTTGTAGCTGCGGGCTCAGCGTTCAGGGAGGATTTAAAGATGTATTTTCTGTTTTTCGAGGGGAGATGGATGTGTCTGTGTGTGCCTTTCTGGAGGTGGGTGTGGGTAAAATCTGTCTGAACCCATGTAAAGATAAATTTTGTGCAGAAAGAGGGGGTRCAGTTACTTGTGGAAATGAAATAATTGGGTTTTAGCTTAGTGAGAGTGGAAAAGAAAATAATACTACTTTTCAAATGAAATGGATAAACAGAAAGGTGAAAAATGGGGATTTTCTCCCTAAGCCAGGTGGACTCCAAGGTCCCTATAAATGACCTTGGGATCTGTCAGAACCAAGCCCAGAGGTGGCTTTGGTGGGAATTCACAGAATCCCAGAGTGGTTTGGGTTGGAAGGACTTTAAATCCCATCCCATCCCATCCCATCCCTGCCATGGGCAGAGGCACCTTCCACTATCCCAGGGTGCTCCAGCCTGGCCTTGGACATTCCAGGGATCCAGAGGCAGCCACAGCTTCTCTGGGAATTCCAGCCCAGCCCCTCCCCACCCTCACAGCCTGGAATTCCTTCCAATATTCTCTCTAAATCTCCCCTCTGGCAGTGGGAAGCCATTCCCTGTGTCCTGTCCCTCTATCCCTTGTCCCCAGTCCCTCTCCAGCTCTCCTGGAGTTCCTTTAGTCCCTGCAAGGGGCTCTGAGCTCTCCCTGGATCCTTCCCTTTTCCAGGGGAACATTCCCAGCTCTCCCAGCCTGGCTCCAGAGGGGCTCCAGCCCTTGGAGCAGCTCCATGGTCCAGGGGTCATTTTGGCTCTTGCTTTTCCAGATCCTTTCCCATCCCATTTTGGGTCCAACATCTCCACCTCCTCCTGCTGCTGCTGCCCCCAGCAGATYTCTGCTGATCCTTCTCCCCAATAATTCCCAGCATTTCTCTCTTTCCCTTGGAAAATCCCAGCCCTTTTTCCCTGTTAAAGTGGAAAATTTGAATTTTCCTGGCACAGTCTCCTGCTCTATCCCACCTTGGGAAGGTAATTTTTTTTTGGCCACGCTTCCAAGCTCCCYGTTCAAGTTTCAGTCCATTGGAGTTCTGATTGCTCAACTCTCTGCTTCCCCCTCCAAATTATGGGATGGCTGGAAATGGCTCCTTTCTGCTTCGGCAGCTTTGCTACCCTGGAAATTTTTCTCCTTGGTTTTAAACTGGTTTTTTTTTTCAATTTGAGTGGTGGTTTCACTTCCTCCCATCCTGCAGGCTTAGTTTTGGGATATGTTTGCAAGGAAAACAAATGTCCTGAGCCTGGGAAATGGATGAACTTCCTCATCTTAGAGTGTGTAGCAGGGAAAGAACAATACTGATTTTCTTAGGCCTGCAACCAGTATTTGGAGGGTTGGACAGCCAGGAAAGGATTTCTGGGAATTTTGGCATAGTGCAGGTGTTCTACAAAGTGTAAATAAAGGGGATTTTTTTCAGTTTAAGAAGAAACAAATAATTCCCTGGGGTGAGATCTCCTCCATGCAAATGTGACATTAAAACTGGGATGATATTTTGAATTATGCTCAGCCTTAAAGTTCTTTACTTTCTGAGCTTGACACTAAATCATTCCAGCTCTGGAATGCTTTATTATTTWATTACTAATTATAATAATAATTATATTGATATATAATTATATTCAAGATGTAGACTATATTAAATATATAAACTATAGAAATATATTTTCTATATAAAATATAGAAAAATATGTAAAACTATATAAATTATATAGAAAGTATATACTTTATGTATAGTTTATATATACTTTTTGTATACTTCAGATATACTTTAGACATACTTTATATACATAATATATTTTATATAAAATATGGATTAAAAATATATAAAATGTATAAAATAGAGCTAAAATAGAGCTAAAATAGAGCTAAAATAGAGCTAAAATAAAGATAAAATTTAGATAAAATAGTTATAAAATAGATATAAAATTATATAAAATAGATATAAGTAAATAGAAAATATATTAAATATATTAAATATATAAAATATATATGAAATATATATAATGTAGATAAAATATATATAAAGTATATATAATTTAGATAGAATATTTAATATATAAAGTTATAGTAAATATATATCCATAAATACAATATCATAATTACATTATATGATGATTTTTATTATTAATTATGCAGAAATGCTTGAATTAGGCAGACTTTGGGGGGTGAGAAATAGGATTTTCCCAGTGCTGGGCACTGCAGGTAATTAAGGACAGGCACGGAGCAGCGTGGGGCTGTGCTGGGGCTCTTGTCTTGTAGCTCTATAAAAAGGCAGTAATTTTTTTGACAGCCACTGATTGGAAAGTTGCTCGCAGCCCTCCGCCAGCACGGGCGACACGCTCCGGATCAATAACTGGCAAATTTCCCATTACAAAGAATACCTGAACAATGTCCCAAATAGCCACTGGCATCTTAATTTGCCATGGAAACCTCCGGTGCTGGCGTGTGGAGGACAAGTCATTTTCAGACAATTTTTCCAGACTACTTGTTAACAGTTATTGCTGTCCCACAAGGTTGACAGCTTACATGATTGATATTTCATTTACTTGTCATCGCTGGTGAGTAATGGACAGGGYCCTGCTTGCTTCTCCCTCTCTCTCCCCCTCGCTTGTGGGGTTTTTTTGGGGGGCAGGAAATGCTTTCCTGCATGTTTATTTTGGTTTGTTATTCTGGGGAGTGCGTTATAAATGTTAATGTTGTGTGGGGGGATGGCTTGGGGTCACAGAATGCTGCCGGGAAAATGGGAATTAAAAGGTTAAAATCCAGTTCTATCCCATGGGCAGGGACRGCTCCCACTGTCCCAGRRTRCTCCAAGCYCCATCCATCCTGGCYTTGGRCASTCCARGGATCCAGGGSCAGCCACAGCTTCWCTGGGAATTCYATCCCAGGCCCTCCGCACCCTCWCAGCCTGGAATCCCYTCCCAAAATCCCACCCCAATCTCCCCTTTYCCAGTGGGAAGCCATTCCCTGTGTCCTGTCCCTCCATCCCTTGTCCCCAGTCCCTCTSCAGCTCTCCTGGAGCCCCTAGAATGTTTTGGAAGCTCTCCCTGGATCCTTCTCCAGGTGAACATTCCCAGCTCTTGGAGCAGCTCCATGGCCGAGGTGTCTTTTTGGGTTTTGACATTCTCAGCTCCTTTCCCATCCCTTTTTGTCCATTTTTAGCCATTTTTTAATCAATAACCAATTCCCCTGGATCACTCCAGCAGCTTCTGGGAGTTCAGCATCTCAGGATGTCTGCAGGGACTTTCTGTGATCCTGGTTTGGGATTCCTCTGCCCTGACTACGTCATCACTGCAGATTATTGGATATTTTCCAGAATCCTTTGGGATTTCCTCAGAGTTTCCCTTATTCCACGGTTTTGGGGTATATTTGCATCACCTCTTTGTGTCCAGGTTTGCTCTTCCTGGCTTCTCCGGGTGTGGCAACTGCTGGATTTGCCGTAAAGGTTTGATTTCCTGGCTCTGTGAAATATTCCCAGGATTTAGGGAAACCTGGAGCTTCCCTGCTGAGCCAGAGCAGATCCCTGTGCTGGAAACCACAGCTCCTTTTTCAAATTCCTCTGTCCCATCATTGTGGGAACACTGAGGAACCATCTGAAGGCTGAGCTGTGCCGTGGCTATTAACAACAAAATTAAAATACATGGAATTAAACAATCCATGAGTGCTTTTGGGCTCCTGGGTGATCTCTTTCTGGAATTCCTTTGCAGTATTACTCCACGGTGATGGAGCAGCAGGTCAATGGACAGCTGACAGAGCCTCTCCAGATCTACCCACGAGGTAATGCCAAAATGAGTGAAATCATGAAAAAATCCTCCCCAGCCACCCTGGGGTGCTGATACAGTTCCCCGAGATGTTTGGGGGAGGTTTAAATGCACAGAGCRTGGTGTTTGCCTCTCAGTTTGGAGAGAGGAGTTCACTGCTGTGGGGAATGCAGGGAAAGTGCATTTATGGCATAGAAAATTGCTGATTTCCTGGGTAAATCCCACTAACAAGGTTCAGTTTGCAGAGCACGTATTTCAGTGCATTTATAAAAACTCACCGGTGATGGCTCTGCCCGTATTCAAACAAAGCAGGTGAAGAACTGAAATCTTGGATATTTATGAAAATTGGGTTTTTTTCAAGCTTTTTGAATATCATCACTCAGCCTGGCCRAGCTGGGGAATGTCACTGTCACTGTCCATGGTGACAATGGGGTGTGGCTGTCCCAGGAGCTCCAGCCAAGGCACGTTTTTAGCTGAAATTCGGGATATATTTGCACTTGGCAGTGGTACCCGAATATTCACAAGCTCTTTAATCATTTTCCTGACCAGGGAGATGTGTAATCAATTCTGTGGACCGAGGCAATGAAAAAATAGGTCATCTCCAACCTGGAAAAATTCCGTAGGCAGCTCATTGGGTTTTTTGGGAATGCAGTGCTCTCTCTCTGAACTCAAATAATGGTTATAAAAAAAAGCCTYGTGCATGACATAATTCATTCAGCTCTCAGTATAGCCAGGCTTGGAATCTCTGACTCTTAATTGATGAAACAGAGAAGGTTGGAATTCTCTGAGTAAATCTCCCAGCAATAAATTAATTGAAATAATTAAAAATTAAACTCTTCTCACTTAACTGATACGACACAAATAATCATACGATGAAGCTCCCAATTAAACATTCCGGGCTTCCATTACTTACAACTCGCTGAAGTTTGAATTGGGCAATTAAGCAGGAGCCTCCTCAAACACGTGGACAGGAGGTCTCTGAAGGAGGCTGGGTTTCCTGGTGGTTCCTATGGAAAGGAGGCAGGAATTCCAGGGAAACGTGGAAAATTGGGGTTTTTTGGGGTCTGGTTGAGAGGGGACCCCCAGGTGTTGGAGCTGTGGTGCTCCAGAGCCCCCAGGCAGGAGCTGGGTCTGCCTGAGAGCAGGGCAGGGACAGCCTGGAGAGGGAAGGGACTCCTGCAAGGCACAGATCCTGGAATGGTTTGGGTGGGAAGGGGCCTTAAATCCCATCCCATTCCACACCTTCCTCTATCTCAGGCTGCTCCAAGTCCATCCAACCCGGCCTTGGACATTCCAGGGATCCAGGGACAGCCACAGCTTCTCTGGGAATTCCAGCCCAGCCCCTCCCCACCCTCACACGGAACAATCCCTTCCCATTATCCCATCTAAATCTCCAGTTTTCCACTACAAAGCCATTCCTTGTGTTCTGTCTGTCCATCCCTGGTCCCCATCAGTACCTGACACCCCTTAGGGTTTGAAGGGACATTTTGGGATCACAAACCAAGCCTGACCTTGTAGATTCTCCATTTGGGTCCTTCCCAAAGAACCACTCATTCCAGTTCTTGTTCCTGCTGCTGCCTCATTTTCCTGTTTGCTTTGCATCCCGTGATAATCTCTGGACAGATTTGGGATTGTCCTTGTGCTCTCTGGATCTGGCTCTTCCTATGTCACCCCACATTTCCCCCTGGCTCAGCTCCCTGGCTCCTCTGGGTTTTTCCTTCTCCTCGCTCCTCCAGATTGTTCTAGAACTCAATTCCCATTTCATCTTCGCAAATCATCTCCTTAAACTTCTCTTTTTCTGGCTGAGAGCTCTGAAACCCCCCTAACCCTCCCCAACCCCACCCCTGAGTTCTGCTGCTCCTCTGAAATACTGAACAAAATGTGCCTTCTGCCTTTTTTTTTTTCCTTTCCCTGTCYTCTTGTCCTGCCTCTCTAATGAACATCCCAAATTTTGTTGGCATTTCCCTCCCATGCCCTTTTGGCCGTGGCTCTCCCTGTTCCCCACTTGAAAGCCCCATCAGCCCCGTACAGCTTTTCTGCCTCTCATTTCCACTTCTCCCTTTTAAGAGGTTTCTTTGCAAATCCTTTGAATCCTTTTCCCTTTTTTTGCCTCTTGTACTTCTGAGGAAGCCTCAATTCCTGCCTCCTTCAGCTCCCAAAAACTCCTCTTTCCCTTAAAAATCCTGTCAGGAGTAAATTTCCAGGTGCCAGCCTATGTTAGCTGGGCTGTGCTTTATTTATTTTGTAATAKTAAGGCCTTAAAAGGGGGAAAAATGGGTGTTTTATCTGTTTTTTAATAGGTTTATTGTTGCTGTTTAGATGGTAAGAGCCAGAGGGTGATTTTATATTGAAAATAAATATGTGTGTGTGATACACATATAAAAAAGTGTACACACACATAGAGAGTTATCTATATATATTCATATATATCTACATATATTTAAATATATATTTATGTGTCTCTATAGATATTAATATGTCTTTATATATATTTATATGTATTTATATTTTCATATATATGTCTTTATATTTATAGAGATCTATGTGTATTTACATTATTTAATATGTATTTTTATATACTTACAGGTATCTAGATGTATATATATTTATTGATATCTATAAGCATTTATATAWTTTTATATATTTATATCTGTCTTCTACCTATGGTATATATCTCCCATTTGTGGGATGCAAGATGAACCCATCATCCAAACATGAACCTTTRAAATGATTATTGATTAATTATCTCGCACCAAATGTCGATTTTAATCAATTGGAAAAATAGAATGTGCTCATATGTATCTATAATTCATAATTTCTAGGTTTTTTTATTTTTTTTTTTAAATTTCAGTGCCCAGAGTCTGGTGATATTTTCACCTCTTTGAGATGTCCATGGTAATTTCTGCTGTCATTGGCAGGCASGAGGGCTGGCCCTGGGTGCTGTGGTTAATAACCATCACCTGTGTCCCCCTGCCTCATAAACAGCTCTGTTTGCTGCTGTCAGGGATGGGAGGGAGAAAAAAAAATCCAATTCCTGCCCGCTCAGCCCATCCATCAGCRCTGACAGCCCCTGGTTTGTAGGGCACTGAGTTCTGGGGTGGGGACATGGAGCCTTTGGGGCTCTCCCATCCAACCAAAGCCACCCCTGAGTGGGGAACAAGGGAAMATTCACTGGAAACTCCTCGGGAAGGGCTCCCTGCTCCAGCAGCACATCCCTCTGATGGCTGAGCTGGCCACCCAAACCACAGCCTGGACAGAATTGAGAGAATCCAAAGCAGTTCTGTTATTGCAGGGCCTTCAGGGCTATCCAGGGCAGTCCCAGCCCAGCCAGGGGTGCACCCACAATGGACAATGGCTCACGGGATTTTCACCCTTTATCAGTTTTGTCCATTTGCACATGGGGGTGAATCCTCCAATTGCAGCTCGGCCAATGCAGTCATTGACTCCAAGTTTTCTCCCCCCAATTCTCTGTTGTTTCCATCTCCTGGGGCCTGGCACAGTGAGGTATCCTTGAGTTTGGGGCTGGAGAGGAATTGTTTTGTGTGAAAATGGGAGAGCAGGAGCTCAGCACTGGATATGGAGTCTGGAGTTAAACACTGAAGAATTACAGGGTCACAGAGACATGGAAATAGAGAGCCTAAAATCCTAAGGGACCACCTCGAAACCAGACATCACCGTAAGGTGCTGCATTGATGTCCAAAAATGGCATTTTCTCTGGCGTTTATTCAGTATTTACTTGTTTCAGCCTCGCTGCTGTTGCCCTCGATGTGTTTTCCCCATTTCACCCAACCCACCCTGATTAAACAACTCATTCCTGACAATTCCCTGCAAATCCATCCCACAAATATTCCTGTGAAATGCCAGGGAAARGCCCAGCCTGTGAAAACACAAGGTTGGAATGGGAATGACAGCCAGAACCCCATGGTCAGAGCCGGCAGCTCTCTTGATTGGGGTGTGTTTGAAGCAGAAATTAGAATTTCTATTACACGGTGTCAGGAAGCTCTTAGCATTTATAAATGCTCACTGCTGCAAGTTAAAAATCCTGGGCCGTAATTCCCACTCTGGGTCTCGCCAGGCACTTTTCAATCATTTCTCTCTGCTAATTTTGGTGTCACCCTCATTTCTTTTTTAAAAGATTCATTTTGAGCGAATTTGTAAATGGCCCTGATGTGTTCTACAATTTAGTCAATTACTGTTTCAGCCTGCAAACCTCCCGGGAAACGGAACATACATGGCCTCAAGGTACGAATTTCAATAATTGTTTCAGGAAAGTTAGATGGATTTGTAATGCTGTGTTCCACTTATTGAAATGTCAAATAAAACTGCACTTTCTTGAGCTCCGACAAGCAGGGGTTTTTTTTATAATTTTTTTTTGTTTTGGGGGGGGGTGAGGGTGGGAGAAGGCTTCATCTGCAAAAYGTTAGCTGTGATATCTATATATATCTATATTTCTATATATAGTTTTATTAAAAATGGGWTTGCCTTTTTGTTGTTAACCTCTGCTAATCATGTTTTTAAATTTTAGTAGTTCATTTATCAACAAATGTCTGCCACCCCTTCAAAGCTTTTTAAATCCCCCACCCTATTCCTGTGATTTCAGTCATTTACCCGAGCGTGGAAGGCACCACAGTAGGATTATTTTAGGGTTTTGATTCCTTATTGCTCCTGCAATCATATGGAGAAGATCATAAAGGTATTAAATGATTGTTTAGGGTTTAAAACGAGGATAAATGAGGGATTTAGCGCCTCTTTTCGAGCGTCATTGCCGAAGCGAAGCTGCCGCCGCAGCCCGCTAACCTACATACACCTCACCGTCGGCATGCCTAGCAACCAGCTAATTAACCTCGCCGGCGAGATGAGGAATCCRTGGCAAATTACAGGTTAATTAGCACGGTGTCCCCGTGGCGGGGCTGCGCTCAGGCTCCTCTCGCTGCCCGCAGGTGAACACGCGCGCGGGGGCCGCCAACAGCAGCGCCTCGGCCRCCTCCGACGCCCTCCCCAGCAATAGGTAAGAGCCCAGCTCCTCTTCCCCTTCCCTGCTTTTCCTTTATATCCTTTATTTCCTTCTCCCTGTCCCAAATGGAACCTAGGTGGGGCAGAGCTGGGGGCTGAGCGGGTTTTCTGATGGGATGGGGGAAGCGGGATCTCCTCCATTCCCAAACGGAGGTATTGGAGCTGAGCGGGGCAGTCAAGGCTGAGCGTTGGGGTGGCTTTCGGCCTCACCTCGAATGTTGGGGGGATAAATCTGAGTCCCCCTCCAAAATGTGTGCCCAGTCCCACGGAATCCCTGGAATGGGGCTGGGAAATGGGATTTTTAGGCAGAGTTCAGGGTTCATAAATTCCTTGGGGGCTGCTGGAGCTTTCCAGGTGTTTGCTGCCGGAGAAAGACGGGTTTGCTGGGGTTCCAGGAGGAAATGAGGGTTTTCTGCTGGAAAAATAATGGTTTGCTGAGTGTTTCTGGAAGAAAGAAGGGTTTGCTGCTGAAGAAATGAGAGTTTGCTGGGTGTTCCAAGAAGAAAGAAGGATTTGCTGGRTGTTCTGRAAGAAATAAGGATTTTGCTGGGTGTTGCAGCAAGGAAAAAGGGTTTGCTGGGTATTTCTGGAAGAAATTAGGGTTTGCTGCTGGAGAAATAGGGATTTGCTGTGTGTTTCTGGAAGAAATAAGGRTTTTGCTGGTTGTTTCAGGAAGAAAGAAAGGTTTCCTAGATGTTTCTGTAAGAAAGAAGGGTTTGCTGGGTATTTGAGCAAGAAATAGGGGTTTGCTGCGTGTTTCTGGAAGAAATAAGGATTTGCTGGATGTTTYAGTAAGAAATAAGGGTTTGCTGGATGCTTCAGTAAGAAATAAGGGTTTGCTTGTAATGAACTGTTACAGGAAGTCATTATTACCCAACACTGATGTTAAAAACCTGCAAAAAACTACAAAAACCCTTTCTGTTTTCTCAAAAAGAAACAAGGAGAGTCTGGCTCCATCTCCTTCCTACACGAGCACATCTGAATTRTGGGAATAAAAACCTCTGGAGGCCTCTCTCAACCTCAATTATTGTATTATTCTAATAAACCCATAAAATTCCATTTTYCCCTGCATGGGCATCCTGCTCCCTTTTTTCTTGGAGAGCATTTTGTGAAGATGAGAAAGAGGGATTTCCAGAGATGAACACGATCATGTTTGGAGGGTGAATTTTGGGTGCTTTTCATGAAGGTGGGACGGTCCCACAAATCCCATTCCCACTATGGGAACCAYGGGAGATTCCATCCTCTGGAATTTTGCCCCACTGGAAACCCCAACCAAGCACCCCCAAACCCAATTTGCTGCTCCCTTGGGTGGCTCTGCCAATGGTGGAGATAAAAAACTCCAGCTTGGCTGATTTGCCCCATCCCTCAGGGCCACCACGTTTAGGATCCCATCCCCAAATTCTTCACAGAAAAGAAATCTGACTTAGCAATAATAATATAACAACAATAATAAATAGAAAATTTTTAAAATCTAAAAATAATAGCTCTTAATAATAATAAATTCCAAGCTGCAGCCCCCCAGTCTGAGCTAAATAAAGCTGCTTTCTGTTTCTGGATTTCAGCACTCKCTGTACTTTGAGCTCGCTCTTCAAGTGCATTGCAAATGAAGCTTCCAGAAGGTTCTTGTCACCTTCTCTAGTGGTTAATTGCCGTTCCTTTTCCGAAACCTTCTGCGCCGGGAGTTTTGTTTTTGAAGTAATTGAAAGTCTCTCTTTTGTTTCATGTTCACAAATTGTTAGTCATGAAAGATGACAAGATCAACTTATGTTTCCTTGGAAAACTTAATTTTGCTTTAAAGCAGTCGTGGGAACAAGAGGCCTATTAAAGAACAAAGCCACCAAAATATGAAATCTGTGTTTTCACTGTTCCTGTTAATAATGATCTGTGATCAAGACACGTGCACAGGCCTTTCAAGAATATATTATTTTGTACTTTTTTTTTTTTTCTTTTTTCTTTTTTAACTTCAGTAATAAGAGCAGAATGTGCCTTTGAGATGAAGTTTTGCAGACGCTGCTGCCCAGGCAGTTTGTTGTGTTGAAGCTCCAAGAAACAGTTTGTAAGGGAAGGAGGTAAAAAGCAGAATTCTGTGAGTGGGTGGCAAGAGTTGGAAGGGATTTTACCCTTGAACTCACCAAGCAGAGAGTTGRGGTTTGTTAAAGTTCTCTTAGGAAAAATTCAAGTGAGTTGTTTTGGTGTGGTGAGTTGAGAGTGGGTTCTTCTGGAAAAGCACAGGGATTTGGCAGGCTGAGCTGGAGTGGGTGCTCATGGAAAGCTGGTCTTCCCACAGGGATTTAGGTGCGTCTTGAGATTCCTAAATCAGGAATTGTGCTCTCCTGCTTCCCTGTGGTTGGTGGAGGTGGTGGGGCATTGCTGGCAGCACAGCCTTGAGCTGAGATCCTCAGAATTATTGAGCAGTAATGCCTGGGGGAGCTCTGAAACCACTCAGGGCACCTGAAATCGGGCTGTGAACCTTCTTTCCCTGTCACTTTTGAATCCCCTGACGTATGAGAACATCCTTTTCTGATTTCCCTCCTGAGCTGTAGAACCATGGGCTGCACGGTCCGGCTGAGCTGAGCCGGCTGCTTTGGGAAGGTGAAAAATGCATTGATTTGTTCTGAGCTGCTCACTGCTGCTCCATTCCTGCTGTCTGGGCAATGCTCCCCACACCTTCCCCTTCCAGTTCCATCCCATCAGGATGTGGAATCACAAGCTCCCCTCCTTTCTCCCGGCTCTGCTCCATCTGACCGAGCGGCACGGCCTGGTCAGTAAAAATAATTGCCTCTTGTTTGGTTTTTATCTTTTCCAGCTTAAAAAAATCCTCTGCAGAGCTGAAGAAAATCCTTGCCAATGGCCAGGTAGGTGCACTGAGCTTCCTGCACACCTCATCTCTGCCTTCGGGCTGCAGGTTCCTGGATATTGGGCAGGTTCTGGATATTGGGCAGGTTCCTGCAAGGAACTGCTGAGTGCTGTCTGGATTCTCTTCAGAATCCTGGAATGGTTTGGATTGGAAATGATTTTAAATCCCATCTCTTCCCTGGACCCCTCCCAATGTCCCAGGTTGCTCCAAGCCCCATCCAGCCTGGCGTTGGACATTCCAGGGATCCAGGGGCAGCCACAGCTTCTCTAGGAATTCCAGCCCAGCCCCTCCCCACCCTCCCAGTCAGGAATTTCTTCCCATTATCCCACCCATCCCTGCCCTCCTTCACCTTAAGGCCACTCTGCCCCTTTATGTGGTGTTAAATTCATGTTTAGACTTGATTTTAAAGCTTTTTTTCCAACATAAACAATTCTACAATTCCCTGCTGTAAACTCTTTTTTAAAAAAACGCAAAAAATCCAGCCAATCAACCCAAAAAAACCCTAAGATTGTAGAACAGCAGCTCATTCTTCTCTTCCTGCTCCCAGCATTCACCCCTTGGCCCCCGAAATGGATCTTTAATGCACCAAGTGCTGGACAAGTGGACAAATGCTGCCAATTTCTTTTTTTCCCCCATTTTGAGCTGAATGAATGGAATTGGAATTATATTAAAAATACACAATTAAATGGAAGTGGAATGATATTAAAAATACACAATTAAATGGAATTGGAATGATACTAAATACACACAGTTAAATAGGACTGCCCTAAAAGGAGCCTGGCTCCTCAAGCAGCCCAATAAATATATTTTAATTTTTTCTCTGCTGAGCCCCTTGGCAGCCTGGTCCCCTGAGCTGCCTCTTTAGGCACCACCTCCTGAGACATCGGTGTCACCGCAGATAAAAGGCTCCCATTGATTTCCTGAACTGCTCCTCACTTCCCCTCCCCTTCCCAGGACTGAAATCTTAATTATCCCTGATGCCAATTCTGCGCTTTCACACAGTGACCTCTCCCAGCCTCATTCCAGCAGTCAGGAATTGGAGCTGAGCRGGGCAGGAGGGTGAAGGCTGAGCTTTGGGGTGGCCTCACCTGGAATTTTGGGGGGGATCAGTGGGAGTCCCTGTCCAAAATGTGAGCCCAGCCCCAGGAAATCCCTGGAATGCAGCTGGGAATTGGAGCTTTTAGTCAGAGTTGGAGTTCAGGACTCACAAATTTTCACAAATTGCTGCCAGATGATTGGTTCATGTTGCAAAATTCGCAGGTAAATCAATGGATTTGTGTTGAATTTCTGTCAGAATTTTTACATTAAATTTTAGAAGTTGGTGCTTACTCCAATACTACTGATGAATTTTAAAATATTTTCACGGAATGTGAGCAGAATCTCCCTGAATTAGGCATTTTGTTTCTTCTGAAAAACAAAAAACCAATGGTTGGTGTGCCCTGCAAGACATTCACAGATTTGTTTCTTGTGGTTTAGAATTTTAAAACCAAACCTTTCCTTAGGATATTAAAAATGTTACTTTAACTCRCTAAAAAAAACAAAATAAGGCTTCGAGTACCTCTTCTTATGATACTTAAACTCACTTAAGAAAAAAAAGGAAAATAAGGCTTAAGTACTACTTATGATATTAAAAACGTTACTTTAACTCACTTAAAAAAAAGGAAATAGGGATTAAGTACCTCTCCTTACAATATTAAAATGTGACTTTAATTCACTAAAAAAAAGAAAATAAGGATTAAGTACCTCTTCTTACAGTATTGAAAATGCTACTTAAACCCACTAAAAGAAAGTAAGAATTAAGTTCTAGCACTACCATTTAGTCACCCTGATGGGAGTTAATTTGGGTTTTTTTGAGAGCAAGTGGTTTGTGTTCTGTAGGATTTGTTCACAAATCCCCAGCTGGAGATGGGTTTCTAGCTGTAACTTTAATTTCTGTTCATTTTGGGGGATTAAGTCACACTTACTATTAGTTAAATATAGCCTGRGCCATTATTTTTGATTATTTTTTGGCAGCTCCAGCTCTGAGGCACTCCTAACTCTATTCCTCCAGCAGCTCCCGTCGAGGTTTAATAAAGAATTCATATTAATCCTGAAAAGGAGGGGGGCACGATTCTTCAAGATAATCAAATATTGACAGCCTAGAAATAGCTTTCTGCCGGCCTTCATTGATACAGGTGATGGGATATAAATATTTATTTCTTCCCTGTCACTCAGGGTAAATGCCACCCATCGATCCGGCATTGATAGAGTGTCAGCACTTCATAAGGAACATTTGCCAGCCCCGTGTTTCCCCATTAGCCCCTGTTCTGTCGAGTGGGATTTACTAAATCTCCTCAATTGGCTGCTCCCAGATCCGTGATTGCCTCAGCTCGGGCTCCTCACCCCAATCAGCGTTAATTGGGCTTTGGATTTGAATGATTTACGAGAGGTGGGCGCTGGTGTCAGTCCCAGCCCAGAATAAACCAGGGGTGTTTTGTTGGCTGCTCCCTAAGTGGAGCCTGCTTGGCTTTTCCATGAATTCCCTCAGTTTTGGGGTCAATCCCAGTTGGGTTTTTAATATTCCTGCCCTCCCTGTTATTAGGGGAGTTTTTTATGAAGGAGAATCCCATTTTCGCAGGAAAATGAATTATTCCCCCCATACTTTTGGCAGCTTTTCTGTGAATTCCCTCAATTTTGGGGTGAATTCAGGCTGGGTTTGCAGATTTGATATTAGGGGAGCCTTTTATGATGGAGAATCCCATTTTCCTAGTAAAAGGAATGAATCCTCTCATGATTTTGGCAGCTTTTCTGTGAATTCCCTCAATTTTGGGACCAATCCCAGCTGGGTTTTTAATATTCCTGCCCTTCCTGTTATTAGGGGAATTTTTTATGAAGGAGAATCCCGTTTTCCCAGGAAAATGAATGAATGCCCCCATGCTTTCAGCAGCTTTTCTGTGAATTCCCTCAATTTTGGGTTTGCAGGTTTGATATTCCAGCCTTCCCAGTGTTATTAGGGGATCCTTTTATGATGGAGAATCCCATTTTCCCAGGAAAATCAATTAATCCCCCTGTGTTTTTGGCAGCTTTTCCATGAATTCCCTCAATTTTGGGGTGAATTCAGGCTGGGTTTGCAGATTTGATATTAGGGGAGCCTTTTATGAAGGAGAATCCTGTTTTCCCAGTAAAATGAATGAATCCCCCCATGCATTTGGCAGCTTTATTGGAGCCAGTAAATCCCACTTTATCTCCCTTCAGCTGCAGAGTTCCCTCCACCCCAGCATTCCTGGTTTTCCCTGGATTTCTGGTTTCCCTCCCACCCCAGCATTCCTGGTTTTCCCTGGATTTCTGGTAGCCCTCCCACCCCAGCATTCCTGGTTTTCCCTGGATTTCTGGTTGCCCTTTGTGCTGGTCACAAGCCTCAGAGGATGGAGCTGCTCTTGTCCCTGTCTTTTAGGGAATGATGTGGGGAAAACTCTCCCTTTTCCCAGTGGGGAGCAGGCARGAGGAAATGTGCTTTATGTCTCCARTTCTGCTCAATTTGGTGTTTGCAACTTGAGGAACCWCCAAAAATTCTTCTTTTGCCCTACAAGAAGCAAAAAGGTTGGGTTTGAAATCAAATCTCTCCTTATGATATTAAAAATGTGACTTAAACTCACTAAAAAAAAAAGAAAATCAAGATTAGGTACCTCTTCTTATGATATTGAAAATGATATTTTAACCCACAAATTTATTCATGGCTCTGTGGGTTTCTTTGATTTCTCTTTGGGGTGTTTGGTTCGGAAGGACATTACTGGGAAAACAGAAGGAGTTTGTTGTTCCCTCCAAGACTTCTTCCAGCTTGGAATAGCAAAATTTCAAAACTCCTTAAAATTTCCAAGCCTGCAGCCTGAGTGAAATTATTTTTGGTGCAAGGGTTCCACTGTAGGTTCCTTACATATTTTAAATCCCACTGATGACCGATTGTTCTTCTCAGGGTATCTTTTCCCACTTTTTATTTGCATTTTCTGATGGATACAATAGGGAAGGAAACTTTCAGGAATACAGTAAGTGTTGATTTTTATCATAAAMTTTGATGTTGGAATGGGCCATTTCTTACCCTCCCGAGGTACCTGGCCCAGGTTTAACTATAAATAAATGTTAAAATAATCACTTTCTATTTAGACTTGCCTCAGAACTCAGGTTTTCACATCACTGAGTAGCAATTCCACGTTTTTTGCTCAGGTAGTGAAAGGAGAAGACATCAATTTTGGGTTAATCGTTTCTGTCCTTACAACTTATTTTAAATCAATAAAATATTTCATTTTCTGTTCATTAGAAATGCTGAGTATTGACTCTTCAGGACATTGGAACTTGTTATCATCACTTGTGYTGAGACACAAAAATGACATCTTTAAGCAGCCAGGCCATGTGAAATATTTAACTTGGTGTCTGTCCCATAAAATACAAATAATTACTAAAAATGAGTTGATGTTTCCTAGGAAAATAGCTTTCCAAAGCAGGATTTACCCAAACATTTACTGCTTGAAATGATCAGGCAAGGGAGGGAATTTTTTTGGAAAAGAAAAATGGTTTTAGCCCAGAATGATTTGTGATTAAAGTGTTTGTTTTAAAGTGTGAATGTGCATTACAAAGTGCCTTTTTTAATGGGTGCAAAATCAGAATAATTGTGTTTGTCCAGGAGAAGACTGAAGTGTAATTTTACATTGGAATYGCTTCTTGAGCAATACAAACTGCTGTAAAATCCATATTTAAAAAAAACAAAATTCAGGAAATGGCAATGTACAGGGCTGGTTTCAGCTGCTGCTGAATTTCTGAGAATCCCATCAAGTCTGGAGGGTTGTCCCAGTGAGCAGAAAGATTGAGACAAAGGATTAACTGTGTATTTAAAAAAAAAATTGATAAATTTTTTTGCAATTCCAGACTGGTTTATTAAAGCCATGCTTCAGATAAAAGCTGTACAAACCAAGCTCTGCAGAACTGCCCCTCAATTAGGCTCAATTACTGACTAAATTGCTGCATAAACCCAAAACTTTTCCAGCCCCACTCCCACTGCGGGATCGTCCCCGTTCCCCTCCAACTTCGGCCCCGGTGCCCCTTTTCCCATCCCCTCCCCGCGCCCTGACCCTCCCGAGCTCCGCTCCATCATTCCGTTTTGACACCTTTTATCAAACTTTAATGAAATGACCCAGGCAAACAAATTGTCATTAAACTTTCCATCACTTTGTCCCTTGGTATCGTCTTTTATAAATTGGACAGCAAATGTTGTATTGATCTCGCCGTTGTTGCGGCTGAACTTGGGATGACCCAGCCCGCTCGTTGTTTATGGCCCGGAGTTGCTTTTCCTTGACATTTCCATCCCCAGCCTGACATCCCTTTTGTTTTTCTTTCTTTCTTGTGGAGATGAATGAACAAGACATCCGATACCGAGACATCCTCGGCCACGGCAACGGCGGCACCGTCTACAAGTGAGTGGGGAATTGCGCTGGAGAGTTGGAGGAAAATAGGGCTTAACGGTGTTTTTACCCTTTGGGGGATGGATGGATTGGATGGGCCCTTGGAGCTCTGCAGGAAAGGAATTCTGGGTGTAAACTTTGGGGTCGTTCTCAAGGTGTTTTATCCATTGGAGTTTTTTATCCTGGTTTTAACGCAGCTCTGAGTCTTTGCAAAGTAAGGAGTTCATGGTGCACCAGTGGGATTGGGATGGGCTGGAGCACTGGGAATTATCTCCAGGATCCGTAATTCCTGCTGGCTCAGCACAGCCTTCCTGGGAATTGCACCATCGGGATGGGATGCGTGACACCGTTGGATGGGTGACACTGATGGGATGGGGTGACACCAGTGGGATGGGTGACACTGATGGAATGGGGTGACACCATTGGATGGGTGACACTGTTGGATGGGTGACACTGATGGGATGGGTGACACCGTTGGATGGGGTGACACCGTTGGATGGGTGACACTGATGGGATGGGGTGACACCATTGGATGGGGTGACACTGATGGGATGGGGTGACACTGATGAGATGGGTGACACTGATGGGATGGGTGACACCAGTGGGATGGGCTCGTTTCAATTCTGTGCAGGTGAAACCCCTCCTCCCGCACATCTCCAACCCCCCATTTCATATCTGCTCCTTAACAGTCTGCACTGGGCTATGAAAAATATTCCAGTGGGAATTAACAAATCCATACTTTGTGAGAAAGCCCTGAGGGAGCGATAAAGGTTTCCTCCAGAGAGCTGTTTACCATATACAGTACCCCAGCATCCCATTAGGCTTTTGTTTATACCTCACACATTTTATCTTGGATATTAGCATCTTTTTTCCCCCTAAAATGTTTTAAAAGCTACGGTGCATTTATTTCGTTTCTAATTGGCTGCCAATGCTGCAAACAATTCCTCCTTGGAGAAGGTTTGATGGGAATGGACTTCCTTTGYTCCAAGGAGCAAAATCACTTGGAATGGAGCCTTAAAATCAGGTTGGCCTTGGGGGTGGGATGTGGTTCAGAAATCTCCTGGATGTTCACTTGGAGCAGATTATTCCTAGGCCAAGGAACTTGAGGAAATGGTGTTTTTCCGTATTTTATTATGGATTTGAGGATGTCRGGCTTTAAAGCTCACTCAGGGACTTCTTGGTGCCAGAAGAGACAGGGAAGGCTCACACGGGAAATGAGGACGAAGGGGGATGGGGAGCTGGACATTCCCTGTTTGACCCCACCCTGTGTGTCCAGTGGGGCTGGGCTGGGATCCCCTGGAGGGGGTCACTGTGACATTCCCGGTGCCATAGGATGGGGAAGTCCTCTCTGGACAGGCAAGAGGCCTCTCCTGGCTCAGGGAGCTGTTCCTGGTGTTTTTATTCCTTTGTATCCTGTTTTTATCTCAACTCAGCTGCTGCAGGGACCTCAGAGTTGCTCCAGGCCAGGAATAATTCCAGCCTGCTCCAGGGAGTGGGCGCTTCTCCGTGTGGGGATGTTTCCGACCTTATCACGGAATCCTGGGATGGTTTGGTTTGGATGGGAACTTAAATCCCATCCYATTCCATGGGCAGAGACACCTCCCACCATCCCAGGGTTCTCCAACCTGGCCTTGGACATTCCAGGGATCCAGGGGCAGCCACAGCTTCACTGGGAATTCCATTCCTGGGCCTCATCACC